TGTTTTTTACAGTACTGTATCTCTTAATCTACAGTTTAATTTCATCTATTGCACCGCTCCCCAACACTGCATATTTAAAAAAATCAAGTCTTCAACATCCAGTCGCTGCAAATACAATGTTATAATTTATTAATGTATATATGTTTCAGAGACGGGTGAGATTTTACCCCTCAGAGGTTCGGAAAGATCTGAAGCTGGTGGAAGAAGTATAGAGAAGTATTTAGATATTTTACTTGAGTAAAAGTAACACCATCACAGTGTAGAGATTCTCTCCAGTTCCTGCTGGAGAAAGTGACCACAGCTCAATCACATATTAACACATTAATTATTCAGTGACATCAAACACCAGCACCGATCAATACAGGAGGGCTGGGGGGGCAGTCAGACCAAAATCTGTCAAATCTGCAGGAAATCTGAACATCAGCAGACAATCAGCAATGTGCAGCTCGGATACTTCTGAATATTTAATTACACTGTAAAACCTGACAATTCACATTAATCAGGAAAGTTTCTGTCACCTAAAATTACTAATAAAAGCTGTTTAATCAAGAATCGTTTTTAACTTGAGTTTCTGTTACTTACAATTTTCAAGGTAAACCGTGTCAACTAATTAAATTTTTACAGTGCATGTACACATTTATAAATAAAATAATAAAGTGCTAGAAATGATGAAATAGAAGTATTATAATTAACTGTGAAACTTAAGTAATTACAGTTAAACATACTGTGTACAGTAAATAAACTTGTACACACGTATTGTGTATAGCAACTACAGTTACACAACTTTTAAAAAGGTTTGCAGGGCACAGAACAACAGGAAGTATATATTATTATTAAAAAATATATATTTATATTGTATCTGTAACACAAGAATCACATTTTAATGTGTTATTATTTTATATCATATCTGCCGCAGCTCAGTTGGTATTTTTGTTGAGAACTGATTTATTAATGTATTAATGTTTCAGGTACTGATCGGGGGGGAAACAGCCCTACAGACAAACAGATACAGACATGATCCCTTATTCTCCCTGAGGTATTAAACACACACACACACACTCCATAATGTATCCCATAACCTTAACAATCACTTACCCCTGACCCTGGGTTCAGACAGAGATATACTTGCTGTTAACAGCGTATATTTGTGTGTGTTTGGAGCGTTGTGTTGTGCACAAACACAGAAATTAACATGGTTAAAAAGTAGGTATTTCTGGCTTTATAATGCGAATTTCTCTCCATAGATCAATCTAAACAGCCCTTTAAAGATTAACTAAACCCAGAAACCCCTTTTATTTTCTGCTGAAACCCTCTCTATAACCTCTGTATCTGGGTATTTACTAGTGTTGTTGATTGATTCAGGTCCTAATATGGACATTTTATTTTTATTTTGCTATAAAAATGCACAGCGACCGCCCTCTACTGGTTGCTATTGCAATTGAATTTCTTTATTGACTGATCTGAAGTCATGTAACGTCACCAACCAACCACTGCTGCTATAAAACCAACGTCTCCACTCTGCAGACTGCGGCCTGCTACGTAGCCTTTAACCACAGACACCGGAGAGTTAGAGCTGCTAGCTTAGCTACAAACAGTCATTGCTGCATTTTTTACATTTTCTAGGAGGTAGCTAGCAGAATTTAGGGGTTTAGTTACTTTTTTGTAGTTCCCTATTTTGGTCCCTATAAACCTGTTGGCCCCCACAAGTACAATGTGTTTCCGGTTACTGGACCCCACAAATGTAGTAAAACAAGCCCACACTCAGACACACGCACTGTATTTCATTGTGAGTGTGTGCAGGGGTTTTCCCGTCACTGACCGTATGTTACCCAGACTTCCACCTGTCTGTCTGTGTGTGAGTGTGTGTTGGACAAAGCTGTGGACTCTGGAATAATCTCTTTGTGTCCGTCAGTCACATTAGACAATACAGAGCGAGCAGCCCGGCAGCTGCAGCAGAGCCCCGTTCACTGACACTGGTGTTAGCTGTCTGAGATATACACAATAATCTGATCACTCATTTAGGTAAATATTAGGTAAACATATTAACAGACCTTTCCAGGGTCAGATGTTTCAGATGGACATCAGTTTCAGTCTCTGTGTCCAGAATGTTTTTAGCCTTTAGCATAAAGACTGGTAGCAGGGGGGGATTTTATTCTATGCTTACATCATTATAGAAACCAACAGTGATTGTGTAGCATCCACTCAGGCTGTGGCAACATTTGTTGAACTGTTATCAGTTAAATGCTAATCAATACTGCTGAGTTAGCAGCTGCTTGATTTAGTTAGCTAGCTGCTAACAGTAGCTGTTCTACTCAGAATATGCTGCCATTGTTTCATGATTTCAAACAGGTACACAGATTAGGAAGTTTCACTCTCAGTAATACAGCAGCAGTAAGCTAAACTGTCGTCTCCAACTGAATCTCAGCTCCTACAGTTGGTTATATACAGCGATATCTGCCCACTGGTTTGGGTTATTGATCATTATTGATATCAATTAATAGAGACTGACTCACTAGTGGAGCCAGCCTCTAGTGGCCGTTAGAGGAACTGCAGCTTTTGTTACTTCATTGTCAGATTCATTTGCAGCCACAGACGTTATCTTCAGCACATTTTTTATATCTAAATGTTCAGACTAAATCTTCAATTATATGATTCTTATAAAAACTTTATTGAGACTGTGACGATGACAAACAGCATTCATGTTGTGTCAACCTCCACCGCAGCTCTGGCTGTGGGTGTAATTGACTGAACTCTGGTGTATGTAGGGCTCTGGTCCAACTGTCTGTCAGAGAAAGCCTCTGCAGCAGATTTCCAGCTGACACACACACACACTCTTCTGTTCCCAGTTTGTCATTTACATCCAGTTTTACTTGCAGTATTCTGTGATATATTAAATATATTAAGACATATATCTGTAATATAATATAATGTTCCGTCTGCCTCTCTCAGGAACTGACCAATCAGCAGTCAGGATGATGCCCAAGGTAAACACTGTTTTCACTTCCCTTTGATGCTGAAATATCTGACTGAAAAGTGCCGTTGTGTTTCTGCTTCTGATGGTCGACTGCGTGGGAAAAAGAGTTTTAATGTCTCTGAGATTTTTATTTTTAGCAGCTAAAAGCCAAAGAGGAGAAAACGAGATATTAATACTGAAGGTTTGCTGCATCATTGCTTCTGAAAAGACCAACTGTCTTTATTTTAGACGGAGGAGTATTTCCACTCTGTACAAACCTTCAGAATATATATAGGAATAGAACTGGAAGGTTTGGTGGATGTAAGATCAGCTGAAGTGGAGATTTATGTCCTTTATTGTAAAATTCACTGAATGAGAGCTACAAACTTCCCCAGTTGATTACTGACATTAAGACAATTATTTTTTGTATTACAAGTTTTCTGAAATGTGCAAATGTGGTGTTATCTAATGCTAACTGTTGGTGAAATCTACAGACACAAACAGATAAAGTAGTAAAATAAACACGTAAATATATTTTTTGGGTGTTTTCTTTCCACTAGTCTGAATGAAGACTTGTTATGGGGGAAAAATAGGCCATAAATTGATAACTGCATTAAAAAAAACATGTTTAAGCCTTTAGTGCCTCGCTTTAAGCTAAACGATTCAAAAACCCTCTTGGATTTACTGTAATGCTCATGTTCCCCTTTTTAATGTATCATGCTAACATGCTAAATACTGAAATTAATGCTAAATAACACAAGAACAGTAACAATTCATTTTTTACCTCCACTAGAGATCAAGACCTGATTTAAACCTCAGAATTTATGTTGCTAATAGTTTCTCTCTATAATAGCCGTTAAATCCTCTCGGGCGGGCAGCGAGGCCGCCGACTGCTTCTTAAAACCTCTGCACTGACTCTTCCATTAGCTGAAGTCCTCTCCCATTTGGCTGAATATCAGTTTGTGGTCGACCTCTAACCTTTCTGTGTGTGTGTGTGTTAGCAGCAGCTGGCTCAGACGTCTCCAGGGAGCGTGCTGTCGCTGAGAGGGTCCAGCGTCCCAGGATCCCCGGCTGCAGCCATCGTGGTGAGATGCACAGATCAAGTTATATTATCCTTCAGATTAATCTTGAGGCAGTAATCTGTAATCTCTGACTCTCGGTTCCCTCCCCACCCCCCTCCAGGCCAGAGTGGAGGACGGGGTGATCGGCTATAAGGACTTGGCTGCGTTACCGAGAGACAAAGCCATCCTGGATATAGAGAGACCGGATCTGATGATCTACCAGCCGCACTACAGCTACAGCCCACTGGAGGTGAGTTTTTAAGAAAGCAGCCCCGGAGTCCCGTTTCACCGACATGTACGAAAATCAGAAAACATATTTATCACATCTAGACGTACAGAAAAGCCTCTTGGAGTCATGCCCCAAACTCAACAGGAAGTCAGCCATTTTTAATTTAATGTGCACCCTTCAAGCACTTTCGGCCATTTCCAGGCCAAAATTCATACATAGTCTGGCAACAGGGAAAGTACAGATTTCATGTGCTGCTCTTTTTAAGGTTGATCAGATCCAGATGAGATTTGGTCAGAAGAACCTTAAGACGTTGATGATCACATGTTATGAATCTCTCCTGTTGTCGTGGCAACGCGTCAAATGTCAGTGTTGAAAAGCTTCGAAAATTTGTCAAACTCTCCCACTGTAAAACTGTAATCTAATTACCTGTTAAAAAATGTAGTCAGTAACTTAATCCAAGTAATCCGAATTGATTACTATTGATTATTTTTGATTATCTCAACACCAAATAGAAAACAACCGTCATATCTCAATGCAAATTTTTTTTATATACAATATCTATATGGTATTTTCGTGAGGCAAAACATTTTCTTTTGATGGTAAAAACTTGTATTTATATAGTAAAACATGGAATAAAACTTTAACTTAAACTGTAAAATGAACAGCACTAATATCCTTTTATCGTAATATTAGAAAAGCTGTCAGTTTCTTACTGTAAAATAAATAACGTTTTTTTTACAGTTTCATGTACTACTCCAAACAGATTAACCAGATTATAATAATCTTTTTCTTTTTTTTTACTTTTTCTACTATTATGGTAAAAGGATATTAGTACTGTTGAGTTTTAATCCATATTTTAATGTATAAATACAAATTTTACCATCAAAAGAAACAGTTTTGCCTCATGAATGATATGACGCTCTTTTTTGTGATATTAAAAAAAGACTTTATTCTGTATAAATAAAATTTGCCATGACATATCAGAGTGTTTTCCTGTTACATAAACTGTTAATCTATTTAAAGTTTTATACTTTTACTGTGATGGTTTGACAGTTTTTCACCATAAAATCTTTTTAGACTTATATATGAAATCTCCTAAAGCCAAACCCCAAAACACAACAGGAAGTCAGCGTTTTTGGATTTAATGTGCCCGTTTTGCACAGTTTTTGCCAGAATCCAAAAAAGTGCCTGAAAATGTCAATAACACTGCGTAGCTTAGCATTAGAGACGCAGTCAGTGTGACAGCAGCTGCGGCCGGTCTGACAGTCGGTTAGTTTGCCGGTTGGTTGGCTGCGAGTACGACTGCGACATGAGACATCAATCTGCTGCTTAGAGACCGGACAGCTCGTTACCACAGCTGAGACCCAGAGTGTGAGTGTGTGTGTGAGTG